TTAAAAAAAAAAAAAAAAGAGTGTGTCTCAAAATCCTGGAGCCACAGCATGTGGGAGAGAACAGGTTTTCGAAGCAGTCAAATCTGGGTTAAAACTCAGATTCTGCAATTACAGGATGCATAGCCTCGGGCAAGATGATCCACCTCTCCTTCCTCCCCGAATCCCTCCCTGACAGAGCTCACATGATCATTAAGTGAAATAAGGTGGGTAAAATTTTACTTCAGACACCGCTGGTGGGGAGGCAAAATTACACAGCCACTTTGGAAGACAGGCAGTTTCTCTGAAAGTTAAATGTTAGTTTGCCATATGTCCTGGTAATTCTGCTTCCAAGTATCTACTCAAGGGAAATGAGAACATACATCCGCATAAAAACCTGTACGTGAATGTCTGTAGCAGCATGATTCACACAGCCAGAAAATGGAAAGAACCCAAGTGTCCATCACCTATTGACTTGGTAAATAAGACATGGTCTACCCATATAATGGAGTATTCTTCAGAAACAAAAAGGAACAAAATATGAACCTCAGAATCATCATGTTAAGTTAAAGAAAAAAGCTGGAATCAAAATACCTCATATCGTGTGGTCCCATGTATGTAAAAGGCAAGGAAAGGCAAATTAGAGACAAAAAGAATTGATTACTGGTTGCCCCGGGGCTGGTGTTGGGAACGATGATGAACTGAGAATGGGCTTCAAGGAGGTTTTTTTTCTCTTTAGGGTGATGGAAATGTTATAAACCCGTATTGTAGCGATGGCTGCACTACTCTGTGATTTTACCAAGTATCGCTGGACAGTTAAACGTAAGTGAAGTTTACATTATGCAGGTAATAGCCCAATGAAGCTGTCAACAAAGACTTATAAAGTCTTAGCATCGGAACCTGGACTTGCAGAACTCGTACAAAATTGTTATTCCAACGCCCTTGTTTCAGCAAGTACGGAGACAGGGAGATAGTTCTTTTTTTTTTTTTTTTTAAAGATTTTATTTATTTATTCATGAGAGATGGAGAGAGAGAGAGAGGCAGAGGGAGAAGCAGGCTCCCCGCGGAACAAGGAGCCCGACGCGGGACTCGATCCCAGGACCCTGGGATCATGACCTGAGCTGAAGGCAGACGCTTAACCGACTGAGCCACCCAGGCGTCCCTAAGTACGCCGAGTGTTTTTATCACTGTATTTGGTTTGTCCTTTTTGGACGTAAAGGCTCTGTTTTAGAATTTTGCTTGAGACCTAATTTACCACGTAATGATGTCCTCTCACACACAGCAAGATGTTCAGAGCAGGACAAAGCTGTGGTGTCCTGATAAAATCCAGTGTGTCTTTTAACCAGGCGCGCTCCCCCCACCCCAAAAAACCTCCTCAAAAAAAGAATTTTTTTTTTTTAAGATTTTATTTATTTGACACAGAGAGAGAGATACCGAGAGAGGGAACATAATCAGGGGGAGTGGGAGAGGGAGAAGCAGGCTTCCCGCTGAGCAGGGAGCCCGATGTGGGGCTCAATCCCAGGACTCTGGGATCATGACCTGAGCCGAAGGCAGCTGCTTAACCGACTGAGCCACCCCGGTGCCCCTGCAGTTTACTTTTTTAAGTCTGAGTTGCTTAATATGCTGTTATTTGAAATGTGGAAGTTTAAATATAAATGTTCCTTTTCTCTTTCCAAGGTGGGAAACTTTAGATAGCTTCATGCAGCACGACGTTCAAGAGCTGTGTCGAGTGGTAAGTCCGGCGCTGTAATTGTACACTCCTTAACATCGACTGCTGCAGAGCACTGTCAGAAGCGGTAACCACTTCCAAGCCCAGACCTGCTTCACGCCAGTGCGCCTTGTGCAGGACAGAACCAGGCCAGGAAGGAGAGGCATTTACGAGCCAGAAAGAATGAAAACAAAATTGCTGTTGGAGAGGGCAGTGTGAGGGGAAACTTGGATTTACATAGCAATAGGTAGTATGGTTTAAATTTGTTAAATTGGCACATCTGCCTGAGTTACTAATCCGAGAAACCTCAGATTGGCTTAAGTAGCTGTCCCGATCATCCTGCTTCGCTGTTAGAATCGTGACTTCCATTGTTACTCTGGAGTGTCCAGACTCCTCCTTGGCACAGAGTTTCTAATTGAGGCAGCCCTCTGTGCAGGTGATTCTCCCCAAAACCATCTTCAGTCGCTAGCAAATTCCCGTCCTTCCAGTTGTGACCAGAGACACACAGATACGCAGACATACACACACAACATGAAATGGTTATTCAAGGTGATTGGCTGGGCAAGGTGTGTTTTCTTTTTTGCAGCACTAGCTGGATTGAATCCAGTTCATTAAATATCCATGGACAAACCAGTCAATCCTGTTGACAGGCTCAACCTCATTAATCTCTTGGTGTGGACCAATACGAGTTAAGTTTAGTGCTCAATTTACATGCTTTTCCACAGAGGTAAAATGAATATAAAAAATGCTTCTAAAGGCACTACAGATTACTAATTCATTCCAAAGGCTGTATAGAGGTTAATCTCAACTGTTGCATGTAGATATTTTTGTAAATATCCAACCAAGGAAGAAGACTTTGTATGTTTTCATAATTGCATGCTAAAGGTCATAATATTTATAGTCTAGAACTTCTTTGACCATTGAAATTTCCTAGTTAAGTTTCAAATTATTGTATGTTAATTGAGCATAACATTTTCTTAGAGTCGAAACTTTCTCTTCCAGTTGCTTGATAATGTGGAGAATAAGATGAAAGGCACGTGTGTGGAAGGCACCATACCTAAATTATTCAGAGGCAAAATGGTGGTATGTGTTTACCAGCTTTCAACAATGATTTTAAATGATTTAAGAATGCTAGTATTTTGACAATACTTAAGCCATCTTATTTTCCTTATTTGTAGTCCTATATCCAGTGTAAAGAAGTAGACTATCGATCCGATAGAAGAGAAGATTATTACGATATCCAGCTAAGTATAAAAGGAAAGAAAAATAGTAAGTCCTGTGTACATACTGGCATGACCTTTTGCTAATTTCTGTTTTGTGTTAATGCTTCATTTACCCAAGTGGTTTTCGTTGAAATACTGCACAGAGAACATTGCCCAAGTGACGAGTGTGCGGCTCACAGAGTGCACACAGGCTCGGTTCCCCACCTGGGTCAGGCCCCATGGCATTCACGGCACGGATATTGGCGCTTCCCGACCATGACCTCCCCTTCTCAAAGGAATCCACTGTTTGGGCCTTTAACCTCCCCTCCTAGGTTATTTCTGCATGTTTGAAATACTTATAGAGATGAGATCATGTAGCTTACAGCGTCTGCTTTGCATTTCTTCTCTTCCACATCATACCCACGAGTAGTGATCGTGTGATCGTTTTCGCTGCTTTATAGTATTCCACATGGGGGGTAAACTGCAGGTGTTTTGAAACCATTCTTTCCTTGATGTTTGGGTTTTCAGTGTGGGGCTGTTGGGCTGAAGGCTCATTGACCGTTCTCGTGCCCGGCTCCGGTGCACGTTTGTGTTCATGGTGAGTGGAATTGTTGGCTCCAAGGGTCTGTATACATTCAGTAGGTGAAGCCAGCAAGTTTCTCAACTCAGTTTATCAAGTCTGGTCCCTCCAGCAATGAGTGAGAGCTGCCATTGAGCCACACTCCCAGCAGGACTGTCAGCCGTCCCAACTGTACGTTTTGGTGGGAGTATGGTGCCATCTCGGTTTTAATACACGTTTCCCTGAAGGTCAGCGACATTGTCACCCTTCCAAATGCTTACTGGCAGTTAGGGTATCTTCTTGAACTTCAGGAATGTATTTAATAGGGACATAATGTCATCGTTGAGCAGTTCTGTCACCTGTGATTTATGGATCTGTGTGGATTTACTTTTCATCATGGGCTCTGTTTTCCAGCTTCTTTGCATCCTTATTGGATGCCTGCCATGGTGATTTTTATACTGTTGGGTATGGGATGTTCTTAACCTTTGTTCTGGGGCACGTTGAAGTGACTTGGACATAGGGTGGTTCTTCGGAGGCTCGTTTTTACGTCAGGTGGGAGCTCAACAGTGTTAGGCTACTTGGGCCCACAGCTGAGGCAGCACCGTTCTGAGCCTTCTGCTTGGAGCTCCATGTGTGAGGGGGCTTTTCACCGTGGCTGGAGGGAGCAGAGCAGAGACCGTTCGCAGGCCGGCATGAGCTCTGGGGACTGCTCTCCCGTCCTTTGGGCACTTCTTTCCCTGGCCCCAGATAGTATCTTCCCTCTGTCAGGGAGACACTGGGCCTTGTTTGGGTTTCTCTTCTGCACAGTGAGCGGGGACAGGTGAAGGGCGCCTTCCAGATCCCGGTTCTGTAGTGCCCATCGTCCAGGGTGTGACCTTGTTGAGCACAGGACATGGAGTCCGGGCAGGAGCAGGGCAGGAGCAGGGCAGGAGCGCTGCCGCATGCGCTCGGGGTGCTCGCCCGGTGGTGGGCTTTTCGGGGCTGCTCCGCGTGGGGCTCGCCTCTGTTCATTCTTGTTGAATGGCATTTCAGAATTTGAGTGAAATCAGCCAGTCATTCTCTGCTTTTTGTGTTAAGAACACCTGCTCTGAAGGCATAGGCTATTTTATCTATTACTGTTTTCTCTTTTCTCTTTATCTGTAATCCACCCGGAATGGATTTTTGCACGTGGTAGGACGTCAGGACTGATCCCCCGCATATGGGTCTCTCTTGAACCCGTCACATTCTTCCCTTGTTCTGCACCTTTGTCAGCAGACGTTCCTATCCATGTGGATTTGTTTTTAGCCTCTGTCTTCTGGTCTGCTGGTTGTCCTTGGGCGAATTCTCTATCTTCCCCCACGCGCCCCAGCTTTGTTGTGGTTTAACTGACAAAATCGTAAGCTAATCACAGCGAGCATTGTGATTCTTCTGGACACACTGTGAAGGGAGCACTCCATCCCTGTGAACGCATCTGTCCCTGCACATCGTCCTCTTGTGTGCGAGTCAGAGCGTTTGAGTTCTCTCGTAGCAACAGGAGCTTCCCGGCTCAGTCCCCGTGTTTGATATTAGGCCCTTGTCCCGATTCATCTTACTTATGTCCCATCCTGTCCCTCTTATCCCCACGGTCCTGCTCTCTACCTGCACTGCCTCAGTTGTAGCTTTATGATAAGTGGGTCAAAATGTGTACTTTAAGGTTCCTTGATTTTGTTAAAGTGGGTAAAACATTTGACTCCGCATGAACGCTTATCACACCCTTAGGAAACCATGTCGGTGGGGTTCTTAGAGGTTCAGGGCTTCTGTTCTGGAGCTGTGGCGGGGTCGTGGCAGGCGTGGCGGGTGTCGGGCAGAGGCCGGGAGCCGCTGCTCTGGGCTGCTCTTCTCTCCGCTCTCTTTCCCAGCGTGCCGAAGCGTGTTGGGGTGGCTGCGTTACCATCAGGGCTCTAGTGAAATCATCGGCTGACTTTCTTCACTTTCTCTCTTTCAAGTATTTGAATCATTTGTGGACTACGTGGCTGTGGAACAACTAGACGGTGACAATAAATACGACGCTGGGGAGCACGGTTTGCAGGTAACGTGGGAACTGTATACTGCCTTTCCCATCACTGTGTTTTCACATCCTTTGCTTCAGTTGTGGACGGGAAAGTCACTTGTACCTTTTCATACGCTGTTCATATTTAGAACTCAAAAGATTTTACTTCTTAGTGCAGACACTATATTTTGGGGCCTTCGATTGTGCAGCTGGTGGGGCTGAGCTGGGGGCGGGAGGTTGACGTTCAGCGTCTTGGGTAGACCCGTCACCCAGCACACGGGAGACCCCGTCCCGCTGTAGGGAGGCGTGTTCTCCACGGCATCCAGGACCCTGCTCCTCGCCTCACTGGTTTCCGCTGGAGCTTTTCCTCAGCTTTTAGTTGCAGTAGAAGTTCGTTCTTTCTTGGACTTTGGGCTCATGGGTGGTTTGCACTTTGGCGCACGCGCGCGTGTGTGTGTGAGAGATGGGGTTAGTTTTCTAAAGGATCTAAAGGATCATGACTTGTAGAACGAGGAGTGCATTTTCTGTTGCTTGTTCTGTGAATACGTGGTGTCCCTGATTGTTTTCCACAAAGCCCCGCGGGGACTCTAAGCTTCTGGCAGAGCACCAAGCACTGTGGACAAGTGACTGGTCAGTCCGTGGCCGGGTGGAGAGACACGGACTGTGGCGTGTTCCTGGCTGCCGGTCAGTAAGTGGGTCAGTAGCATCTTCACGGATGCAGCGTCCAGAGTCTGTGTTGGACTCATAACCTGGACACATGGGCTCAGCCATTTTATGATTTCCCACACCATCCTGTGTTTACCAAGCTGGCTACCTTAGAATTCATGGTGCTGGTGTGCCCACGTTTCAGTGAGCCACAGATCTGTTCTTCTGCTTGGTCAGGCCGCTCAGGATGCTGCGTTGTGGATCAGAAAGTCACTTTGCAAGCATGTGACTAGATGTGCTTAGGAAACAGTCAACTCACAAGAATTTCCCTTGTCCACACTGGATGGTTTGGGGTCTGGGTGAGCAGAGTATGTATTTTAGAATCATAGCCTCAATAGACTGTGGTAGAGAAACAATTCTTTTATTGTTCTTTTAAGTTATATCAAAACCATGCCGTTCCTTTGTATGGCAGGTTCCTTAGGTTTTCATTTTTCTTTCCAGAGATACTTTGTCATCTTAGGCACGCTAATGTGACATCAGAGAGCCTTGTCTTGTGGCTTGTCACAGGCACAGTGCCTCGGCTGGACGTACCCGGCCCCAGAAGGAAGGTCTGAATCAGAAGCTGAGCTGTGTTGAGAGCCCGGTGGTCTGGTAGTGGTGGGGTTGGGCAGAGGCTTATTTTCGTGAGGAAACCAGAGGCGGCTGAGGTGGGGCCAGGCGTGTGGGAGCTGTGGAGTTGGGCCCCCCCCCGAGGAGGCCTTGTTGAGAAGTGGGGCACGTCCCGCTGCACCGAGGCCGCGTTGCTGATCTGAGGGTCTTGCTGCTATCGAGTGAGGACAGTGTTCAGAAGTGGGTTGGAGTGTAAGCGCTGAGTGCGTGCTGTGCATCATGTGCTGTGAAGTGAACGTGCTCCGAGACCAGGGGCAGGAAGCTGCTGACCGGTTGCCGTCCCGCCCCGTGCCTGTGAGCAGCCACACTTGTTGTGGCCAGGTGTCTGTAAGCACGCCTGATCTCGCCTCCCTGCAGTCCCCGGCGTCTGCCTTTCCAGTGCATGGTTTTCTGTGTTTTTCCATATTTCCTATCGTGTTTAATGACTATAACATACCAGCAAGTGATTAAGCCCTAATTTACTTAGCTGTTCCTCTGTCGTTGGGCATCAGAATATAATCCAGAGTAAATCGCTCACACACAAGCTCTTGCAGCAAACCTGAGAAAGAGCTAAGCAGAACATTTTACTTTATTTTTTATTTTTTTTAAGATTTTATTTATTTATTTGACAGAGACACAGCGAGAGCAGGAACACAAGCAGGGGGAGTGGGAGAGGGAGAAGCAGGCTACCCGCTGAGCAGGGAGCCCGATGCGGGGCTCGATCCCAGGACCCTGGGACCATGACCTGAGCAGAAGGCAGCCGCTTAACGACTGAGCCACCCAGGCGCCCCTGACTTTATTTTTTAGTTGAAGCGTCGTTGACGTGTGCGGTATTACACTTGCTTCAGGCGTGCCGCGTAGTGATGTCGTGTTCACATACATCATGAAGTGCTCACTACAGAGTTCGCATGGTGCTGCTGACTCTGTCCCTACACATACTTTGTATCTGTGACCTGTTTTGTAACTGGAAGTTTGTATCTCTTGATACCCCTCATCTGTTTCGCCCCTCCCCCACCCCTGCCCTCTGACAACCACCAGGTTTTCTCTGTTTGAGCTTGGTTCTCTTCTTTTGTCTTTGTGTGTGTGCATTTAAGATTTTATTTGTCAGAGAGAGGGAGGGGGTGGAGAATGTGCAAGCTGGGGGAAGGGGAAGGGAGAGGGAATTTCAAGCAGACTCTGCTCTGAGTTTGGAGCCCAACGGGGGCTTGATCTCACCCCTGAGATCATGACCTGAGTGAAACCAAGAGTCGGATGCTTAACCAACTGAGCCACCCGTGAGCCTGTTTCTTAAACAACATTTTAAAAGCACCCCAGCTGGATACCTACCCTTCCTCTCCCACCAGATCTCTCCAACCGCTATTGCTGTCCTTGCTTCAGGGACTAAGTAGGGCTGAACTAAACTTGCATTTCTTTTTCAATGTTCAGGAAGCAGAGAAAGGTGTGAAATTCCTAACTTTGCCACCAGTGTTACATCTACAGCTGATGAGATTTATGTATGACCCTCAGACGGACCAAAATATCAAGATCAATGATAGGTAATTTATAGTGGGATGTGAAAGTTAAGATTGAATCATCGCCTGACTTGGGGGTCAGTCTTAGCGCTTTGTTTAGTCTTTTTATATTTTCAGTCCATCTCTGATGTACTTAGGTCTCTCTCTTGCCTCACTGTCCCAAGAATAATGGTTTTAAAGGGATAATTTCCCTTACGAGATTTCAGAGGCTGTTCCTCCCATTGCTCCCTCTTAGGGAACCCCAGCCCCCTCCACACTGGGGCAGATGGAGGTCTGAGGGGAGAGGGCTTTCTGCTCCACCTGTTTTGCACTCACCAGAATGCCGCTGTTAACCTCAGGAGTGGAATTTGATGTTGCTGTATTTGTTTGAATACAATCCTCCAATATTTTGTAATCTCTCAGTTGGTATTCTAGAATGTGTTGGAATTTTCAGGAAGATGATGTAGATGTATGTGTGTGCCTTATTCTAGGTGTTTTCCCCGTTCTTAAAATGCCAGATAAAAAGAATGATAGTAAATACTACTTTACCTGGTTTAGAATACAGAACTTTGGTACTGGTTAGTTTGGGCACAGGATAGAGGTTGGTTAGTCACCCATCAAACTTGAGGGAGAATGGACCCAGTCAAATTATTTGCCACCAGCCGGGTCTTTGCTCTTTCATTCTTGCCCATCGCTCTGGAATCGGTATGAAACAGTCTCCACCAGACCTCACAGATTGGCGTCCCGCAGACCAAGGCCAGTCTGCTGGTGTGTTTTGTTGGGTCCCCACCTTGCTTTTGTTTCTGTTTTTATTGGCATTAGTTGCCAACATTAAAAAACAACAACAACCCCCCCCCCCCCGCCAAAAAAAAACCCATCAGATTTCACGTAAAAGCCCAGATTTCTGGCATCCTTTAGGAATTCTGAACATTTGGCAGCGCAGCCAGGATTGCTGAGGGCGGCACTGGGCTGGTGCTGGGGCGGCTGCCCCTTCAGACTCTGTGAGCTCGCTCTCCGAGTCCTCAACCACCCGCCTCTCAAGGCACTGCTGATTAATTTCGACCATGTTGTTAAAATGTTTATGGACCCAGTCATTTAAAAGCAAATCAAGTTCAGGATGTCTTTAGAAATCATGGGGTGTAGGGGATCCTTGCTTACATGTCTTCGTTGTTCAGATTCGATTTCCTGTGTTTCTCAGACGTACAGTATATGCTCTGTTCTAAGTTCTGGACAGCCAGAATTATTCATTAATAACATTTGGAATTACCCACATCCTAGAAGAGTCACGGTGTACATCTATCACAAGACTGGCTGTTGTGTAATATCCTGAATTTGAAATTCTGTCAAGCATCATCTCAGTGCATTTAGAGCATTTTCCTCCTACCTAGCTTCAAATTTTTTACTGCTGTCTGAATAATTAACTTGTTCTAATGAATGGGAGCTGCCTCCGAAGTGTTCATGGGGTCTCCCAAGTCACATTGATACTTGGCTTTCCAAATGAAGATGAGCCAGTAAATTAGAACGTCTAGCAATAAATAAAGTTTACCTTTAAACTATTTCACGTGTGAATGAAACCTGGATTTCTTTAAAAATGTTTTTTAATAGGTTTGAATTCCCAGAACAGTTACCACTCGATGAATTTTTGCAAAAAACAGATCCTAAGGACCCTGCAAATTATATTCTTCATGCAGTCCTGGTTCACAGTGGAGATAATCATGGTGGACATTATGTGGTTTATCTAAACCCCAAAGGGGATGGCAAAGTAAGTGCTGGGCAGGGGTGGAGTCAGATGTGATGGTGTGTAGGGCATTCACCCTGGCACTCAGCTTCACCTTAGCCCGGTCCTGCCCGATGGCCTGGATAGCAAAAGATCCCCCCCGGGCTCTGGATTTCTCTCTGTGCTCTCATGCATTACTTGCTGATACTTTAAAGGTGAATAGTAAATTAGCGATTATACTGTATTATGTGTCTCTTTATCAGTATTGAGCGTTGAACCTTGATCCCTTCGTATGTAAAGTGAGGCACCTATTTCCCACTTAAGAGCACCAGCAGAGTCATCATCCACGGCCGGGGAGGCAGTGCTGGGGGCACGTCATTCTGCAGGCCTGGTTGTCCGCGCTCTGTGACCCTCCGTCTGCCCCAGGTTTGCGTGGATCTGCTCTCCCGTAGCGTCCCCAGGGGACGAGGGCCCCCTCGGGCTCTGTGTCCAGGACTGTAGGGCCAGTGAGGAACAGCGCAGAGGCCGAGCCCACCTCGCTCGAGCTGAGGAGATTTGGTGGAGGGACCCACATAGCACCAGACCACGATGAACCTTTCACTGTAAGATTTAAGTACCGTTGAAAGTGACTCGATCCACAATGAAGAGATTGGAAGATAAGTATAATGTACAACTCTGCTGACTTTTTAAAGTCAGGCTCTCACTTGCTGTGAGACTATGTCATGAGATAGGATCAAATGTCCCCATTTAATTTTATAACTGTACCATAAAACTTCGATTTTACTAGCAGCGTAGGTGTGCTCTGTATGGTTTTCTCAAATGTGTAAAGAGTTGTACTGTCAGTCGATTGAATGTAAATTGAAGTGGGCTGTTGGAGTGTAAGGATTGCCAACAGACGCGCCTTCACAGCCCGCCCCCTACCCCGCCTACCCCGAATGCGGGCCCGAGTTGGCTGGGGTGCCGGGGAGCTTGGTGAGAGGCCGGCTTACCTGACGCGGTGCCCCGGGGCCGGCACATCCTCAGATGACTCGTTTTAGGAGAACACCGCCTCTTGTGTGCTTCATCTCTGCCGCGTCTCCTTGCTTTCCTTGTCAGTGGTGTAAATTTGACGACGACGTGGTGTCCAGGTGTACGAAGGAGGAGGCCATCGAGCACAACTACGGGGGCCACGACGACGACCTGTCCGTGCGACATTGCACCAACGCGTACATGCTGGTGTACATCAGGGAGTCCAAGCTCAGTGAGTAGCGCCGCTCGCTCGGCTCCGCGCTGCAGGCCAGAGTCCCCGATCCCCGGGTGCTGCCCAGCTCTACTGGCTGTCCCCACGCGGTCGCGGTCTTGGCTCGCACGGCCCTGGTCCCCGCACCTCCAGGGGACTCGCGGTCCTAAGTAGCTTTCACTCGAATAAGATTGCTGTATTGACAACCACATGGCATTGGGGCCTTCTGAGGAAGGGAGCAGAGAACCTGCACACAGGTGAGCGAGAAGGCACGTTTGTCGTGCAGGTGAGGTTTTACAAGCGGTCACTGACCACGACATCCCTCAGCAGTTAGTAGAGCGACTCCAGGAGGAGAAAAGGATCGAGGCCCAGAAGCGGAAGGAGCGGCAGGAAGCCCACCTCTACATGCAAGTGCAGGTCAGCCTTGCTTCTGCGGCGTCGCTGCCCCCGTGGCGGGGGCTTGCTCCCTGAGCATTTGTGACTGAGGGGCCGCTCAGGGGAAGGGCCCCCAGACTGAGCCACGCTCTCTCAGCGTGGGCATGGAGGAGCTCAGAGGGGGGAGGGCCCCTGGAGGGGGGCGTGGGAGGGCGAGCTCGCGGTGGGAGGTGGCGCTCCAGGCCATGGAGAGGCGTCACCGGTGATGGGGAAGGAAGGAGAGCTGGACGGGGAAGTGAACTTCCAGAAGGTTTGGGTTTATGGTTCGGTTGCTCTGTTGGGAAGTGGGTGCTGCTTTCAGCAGGTTGGTTGCCTGGGAAGAGGAGCTAGCTTGGCGTCCTGGCTGGGCCCGGGCTGTATCCAGAGCCCGCCACGCAGTGGGCTTCCAGCTCGCCCTCCAGGGAAGGGGTGGGGGTGTGTGGAGGTGTAGGTGTTTGTACTTTTTTTTTTTTTTTTTTAAGATTTTATTTATTTGCAAGAGAGAGAGAGCACAAGCCAGGGAGGGCAGGGAGAAGCAGGTTCCCTGCTGAGCAGGGAGCTCAGTGCAGGGCTCGATCCCAGGACCCCGGGATCATGACCTGAGCCGAAGGCAGACGCTTAACCGACGGAGCCACCGAGACATCCGTGTTTGTACTTTCTAACTAAACACCTGATTTCATTCTTCGTCATCTTGATACTTTTCTCTTTGGGTCTCTGGAAGAATGGTCATTGAAGCCAGAGACTAACTCTTTTTAGCTTGTTACTGTGGAAACTTTGTTTTGCTTGGAGTGGTCTCACGGCATCTCTGCGTCTGTTGGAAACTCTGTTGTGTGTTTTCTTGTGTACTTTCAGATAGTTGCAGAGGACCAGTTTTGTGGCCACCAAGGAAATGATATGTACGATGAAGAAAAGGTGAAATACACTGTATTCAAAGTATTGAAAAACTCCTCACTGGCTGAATTTGTCCAGAACCTCTCTCAGACCATGGTGAGTGCCAGCCCTTCTGGGGATGGTTGTTTTCATCTCCAGGTTCTGTCTGCTTTCCTCACTAACTGGATGAGCTGGGATCGGGCATTTGAGCCCAGGTGTCCCGGGAACCCTGGAAGCGGGGGGGGCTCTCTCTTGTCCACATCAGCAGGGAGAGCTCAAACTATCATTTTGTTTCTTCTTATCCTAGAATCATTTACATTCATACGGAATTAAAGTATGAGCTGATTTTTTTTTTTTTTTAAGGTTTGATTTATTTATTTGACAGAGAGAGACCGCGAGAGAGGGAATACAAGCAGGGGGCGTTGGGAGAGAGTGAAGCAGGCTTCCCGCCGAGCAGGGAGCCCGATGTGGGGCTTGATCCCAGCGCCCTGGGATCATGACCTGAGCCGAAGGCAGACACTTAACGATTGAGCCACCCAGGCGCCCCTGATTTTGTTTTAATTAATTTAGTGTTAATTTTTTTCAGGGATTTCCACAAGATCAGATTCGATTATGGCCCATGCAGGCAAGGAGCAATGGAACCAAACGGCCAGCAATGTTGGATAACGAGGCGGACGGCAACAAGACGGTGAGGGCGCGTGAGGGTGGCGGGCGCCGCGCACCTTGGTCAGAGTCGCTCTGCGCCGCTGTCGCTTGTCTGCCTCTGGCCCGCTGAGCGGCAGGCAGCTGTGCTCTTCACTCTCACTTAGCCCCGGAAATACTCTAACACCAGCATCTCTTTTGGAAATAGATGATTGAGCTGAGTGATAATGAAAACCCGTGGACGATATTCCTGGAAACCGTTGATCCGGAGCTGGCTGCCAGTGGGGCCACGTTACCCAAGTTTGATAAAGATCGTAAGTGCCCCCGGGGCAGCAGAGCTGGGGCCCAGGACCAGCGTCCAGACACACACGGGCTTAGCATGCTTCCCTTGCCAAGAGGTCCGGTTCCAGAAATGCCCCTGAACCCCTTTCCGTGTTGAGGCTTCTTGGCGAAGCTGGGCGGGCCTGACTGGCTGCTGGTGGCGAGCAGGCCGCGGCCGCGCTGAGTCCGTGTGGTTCGCCGCGCGCCTCACAGGGGCCCACAGAGCCGGGCTGCAGACCCTCCCTGCCCAGGGCCGGGTAGTAAGTGTCTCACGCCTGTGGGCCGTTGGCGGCCTCTACCGCCCGAAAGCGGGTGCAGAAATTCAGCAACGAACAGGTTGGCCGTCTGCTGGCACAACTCTGCCAAAACAGGTGGGTCAGAGTCTGCTGACGGTCACTCTAAAATGGTCAGTTCTTACTGCTGTAAAGACACACAATATTAGCATTTTCTCATGGCAACACTCAGCTAGCTGGTTAGTACCTATCCTTGAAAATCAGATGCCTCGTAAGTTCACTGCCCTCGGTCCCATCCTCACTGCCTCGGATTATTGTTGCCCGGGGGCCCGACGTGCCGAATGATGCTGTCCTCCTAGGGTCAGTCAGCGTTTTGATGAACCTCACCTGACACGGTAGCTTTTGGGTGCCAGATGCTGTCACTTGGTTGCCTACTATTAATATTTTTAGGACATTGTCCCAAGTGTTAAGATCCTAACAAAACCTGTTTGTTAACCTTGTAGATGATGTCATGCTATTTTTGAAGATGTATGATCCCAAAACACGGAGCTTGAATTACTGTGGGCACATCTACACACCAATATCCTGTAAAATACGTAAGTCCTACTGCCCTCACCGTTGGAGTTGGTTTTGCTAAAGTCTTGGTCTGGTACAGCTCTGGATTCTTTGTTTTTCTCGAACGCAGGTGACTTGCTCCCGGTTATGTGTGACAGAGCAGGATTTATCCAAGATACTAGCCTTATCCTCTATGAGGTTTGGATGGCTTGTTTTTCTGTAATCAGTGTATCATTTGTGGTTTGGGGAGGGCTTTTCTTGTTTGTTTTGCTAGCCCTGACTTCCTTGTTGTGTGCAGTCTGCAGCTAAGTGGTGGGGGCCCCGGGTGGTGTCTAGTAGAGGGTCTTGTTTGTAGATGTCTGATTTTTCCTCATTCGGGCTCGGTGATCATTACGTCTTTGTGGATAGTAACGTTCCCATTAGCACTCTCATTAGAAACGTAGGGCCGAGAGAACAGAATTCTCGGGGAGAACACCTGTGGCGTCTGGTTGTATTAAACGTTAGGCAGACGTTCCCCGGTAACCATTCATCTCTCTTACTGTAGGAAGTTAAACCGAATTTAACAGAGAGAATTCAGGATTATGACGTGTCTCTTGATAAAGCCCTCGATGAACTAATGGATGGTGACATTATAGTCTTCCAGAAGTAAGTACTTTTTGAAGGACTGTTTCACTTTGTACTAAGACTGAGTTTCCCCATAAGCCCCAGAAGCAGGAAACAAAACTGTGTCAAGACGCTGAGTTAGATTTTGTTTAAGTAGCTGAGAATGTAGACAGAAGTCGGCCTCTCCCGGTTTGGGGATCGTGGGCAGTGAACCTTTTGCTCATGTAACGAATGGTCTCATTTCCTAAGAATCCGTGATGAGCACGGCAGCTCTTAGTGGGGTGGCAGAAGTCCTTCCAACAGTAGCAGGCTGGTTTTCCTTCCCCTCAGCATGAGCATCCCTGGCACACACCTGCATAGGCAGTTCGTTTAGGGCCCATCGGACCAGCAGGTCCTTGCCTGGGCTCTTGCAGAAGCCACCTGGCCGTGGCGGGCTTGAGCACCGGTGATGGGGCCCCCGAGAGCAGGGGTTGGCAGACTTGTGTTTGGAGGACCAGGTAGTAAATATCTGCTGCCTTAGCAGGGAGGTGGTCGCCTGCCAGCTCGGGGTCAGAGAGTGGGCTCTGCCGTGAGGCCCGTCATGCCGAGTCCTTCCCTGTGTATAAAACGGGAGGACATGGTTTCGTGCCCTCGTCAGGATGCGAAGCAGGGGGCGGTTCGCACTAGCACGTGGGAGCCTCCGAGCACAGCTCCTGTGTGTGGTGGCCTTTCCTTAACTGTCCTGGCTACGGACTCGCTGGGACAGACTCCTGGCATCCACACTCTTAGTCCGTGTCACTGTGGGTTCAGAGGTGATGCCTTTTTTTTTTTTTAATAACCATTATCCCTGGCCTGGACTTCGATTCAGTCTGCAATCTTTCTTTCTCTCCCCCCAGGGATGACCCTGAAAATGATAACAGTGAATTACCCACTGCAAAAGAATATTTCAGAGACCTCTATCACCGTGTTGATGTCATTTTCTGTGATAAAACGATCCCTAATGATCCTGGATTTGTGGTCACATTATCAAACCGAATGAATTATTTTCAGGTATTTCCCCTTCAGATTCTATACCAGAGAGCCCAAGTTCTTAAAAAGGAAGGGTTGCTGAAGAGAGAGAGGCTGATGGGTTTGGTTCCGGAGGAGGGTGACGGCCCCATTGTCTGAGCGGTTCTTGAGGGGATTGGTGCTGGTGCTGCCCCCTCCCACACCCACCTCATCCAGCCCGGCGTGATTTGGTTTCAGAGATGATACTTTTTACAGCAGCTTTGCTTCAGTTACAACTTGCCATTGGAAAATAAACCTGTAGACCTCACCGTTAAAAGTGAGAAACCCTTGGGGCACCTGGCTGGCTGGGTGGGAGGAGTGTGTGGCTGTTGATTTCAAGGTTGTGAGTTGGAGCCCCACATTGTGTGTAGAGTTTGCTTAGATAAATAATCTTTAAAAGGAAAGGTGGGGCACCTGGGTGGCTCAGTCGGTTAGGTGTCTGTCTCTTGATCCCAGCTCAAGTCGTGTGTTCAGGCTACTTTAAAAAAAAAAAAGGCAAAAAACCCTTTAACAGATGATTTCACTGATGTGCCGCCCCCATGGAGCATACACTGGGGAGTATAGTTTATTCTCAGTCGGTGGTAGATTTTTAGGCCATGTAAATTCAGGCTATTCATTTCACATTTCTTTAAGAATATTCGGTAAAGGGCGCCTGGGTGGCTCAGTTGGTTGGGCGACTGCCTTCGGCTCAGGTCATGATCCTGGAGTCTCTGGATCAAGTCCCGCGTCAGGCTCCCTGCTCAGCGAGGAGCCTGCTTCTCCCTCTGACCCTCCCCCCTCTCATGTGCTCTCTCTCATTCTCTCTCTCAAATAAATAAATAAAATCTTTAAAAAAAAAAAAAAAAAAAGAATATTCGGTAAAGGGGCGCCTGGGTGGCTCAGTTGGTTAAGCCACTGCCTTCGGCTCAGGTCATGATCCTGGAGTCTCTGGATCAAGTCCCGCGTCAGGCTCCCTGCTCAGCGAGGAGCCTGCTTCTCCCTCTGACCCTCCCCCCTCTCATGTGCTCTCTCTCATTCTCTCTCTCAAATAAATAAATACAAAATCTTAAAAAAAAAAAAAAAAAAAAAGAATATTCGGTAAATAGTTAATGGTAGAGTTTATAAGCAAATTTCAGTTCACTCCCCAACATGGGCCTTCTTTTCTGACTTTGGGTCCCTTCCCTCCTCCCAGGTTGCAAAGACAGTGGCCCAGAGGCTCAACACTGACCCCATGTTGCTCCAGTTTTTCAAGTCTCAAGGGTAAGGCGCTCCCCGGCCCCTTGCTGTTTGGTCTGTACTGCATGCCCTCCATAATTGATCTTGACATCATGGAACTAATTTTAATAATAGCTGGCTGCAGCATCTGACAGGCCACCGCTTAGTTTCCGATACAGAGTCGTCACCACGCACATCCTGCCCACACTGCTCCCAGATGTCCGAGTAGTTGGCAGTCTGCCTCATCTAGAGCCAGACTTGTTTAGATACATCACCAACACCTCTCCCGAGCATCCAGCCGGGGCCACCCCGGCCAGGCTCGCACGTGCCCTGTCCCCATTGCTGAGAGCACATGTGGGACCACCAGGGGGACTAAGGCTCGGGAAACAGGAGTATGGAGGGAAGCCCTGTGCCAGGCCCACAGTTTGAATCTAGGCGTACGGGCAGTGGTTTGTGTTTATGCTAACTCACGGATATTTGTTTTAGGCAAATAAGTCATTTGTTTATATGCTGTTTTCTTGTGCAGTTATAGGGACGGCCCAGGTAACCCTCTTAGACATAATTATGAAGGGACTTTAAGAGATCTCCTACAGTTCTTCAAGCCTAGACAACCTAAGAAACTTTACTATCAGCAGGTATGAGTCCGAATTCATGTAACCGTGGGTCATAAGGAGGTTTGGGTTTTGTGGAGACATATCTGATAGTCTCTCTTTTCTCAATAGCTTAAGATGAAAATCACAGACTTTGAAAACAGACGAAGTTTTAAGTGTATTTGGTTAAACAGCCAGTTTAGGGAAGAGGTACGTGCTTTTTAATGATACGAATTTTTATTCTCGTTGGTGTGTGTTTAGTGTTTGTCTAGCTCTTGAAAACTAAAACAACGAAATAAAGGCGTTAGAGGCCCTCTGTCCCCCTCTTGCCACCACCACTGCTTCTGAACCATTTCTGCCTCTGCCTGGCCCTCTGGGCTCTAGTGGCGGGCCTGAGGGCAGGGTGGGTGCTGCCCGCCCACTTGAGGTGGTGGTTCTAGAAAAGTCTTTCCCTGCTTGCACCCTAGTGTTTCGCCTTTGTAGCTCTGCCAGTTTTAAGGAAAATGCTCACCGTGTGCCATAAAACATGCTCATCTGGGTGGAATTGACAGGCTGACATCCTCAAGTCCAGCCCTGGTTGTTGTCTCGGCTGACACTGTCCTGTTGTCACTTTGCTGAGAGAGCCGGCTAGGAGCTGGCCTTCTGTGGGAGAGTTTGCCGAGAAGCTGTCCTGTAACCGGCAACCTTTTGGCATCAAAGTGGCATTTCTAAAACTCCCCTGCAGGCCTGGGCTGGGGCCGGGGGTCCAAGTTCATGCATCAGGGGCCCTCAGACTGGGGGCGTCGGTGATGTGGTGGGGAGCTAGGGACAATTGAAAATCCCTTGCAGGTTTTTCCCCTCTTCCAGCATCGAGGATGTGCTCAAGCAGACCCCTTACGTTTTCTTCCATCTTGTCATTTCCTAGGAAATCACACTATATCCCGATAAGCATGGGTGTGTCCGGGACCTGCTGGAAGAATGTAAAAAGGCTGTTGAGCTTGGGGAGAAGGCGTCAGGGAAACTTAGGCAAGTATTTCCTGCAGCTGGGGGAGGCCTGCGCCCTGTGGCCGTGTTCCCGGGACCCGCGCAGCAGAGTGGCAGACCGGCTCTCTGCCCGGCTTTTGTGGCGGTTTATAAATATTTCACAATTGAGCCATGTTTTTTTTCTTCCTGCCCTGTCTCCTGACTGTTACTAAGCTGTAGAAAGATGAGATTCGGGTAGAAAAGTCACCCACAGTAAAGAGAGGACTCAAATGGAGCATCAGCTGAAACGGCAGAAATCCAGGTTGCTCTTGGTTGCAGTGGAGAAATCCAGGTGCTTCTGATCCATGAGGCTGATACTCCGGCTGCAGACAGAAGCCCCAGACTTGACGGGCAGTGTTTGTTTCAGGGTCGGGCCTTCTCATCCCCGTGCCCTGCTGTCTGCTCATAGGACAAAACAAGCCTTGGGGCTCTTTGCTTCCCGGAATGCGTGCTCTGTGATATCAATAAAAGAATGAGATCTTTATTCTCTAAAGAGTGCACGAGAAAAACACCACAGGTCCTGCCCAGCTGGGAACCATTGTGGACACGATGTACACAGTTCTTGGAGACTTGGTTTCCCCTCCATCCCTGTGCCCACACGGGGCCGCGTGGCCTCAGACTGCAGGGGCCGTCGACGGGGCCTCTGTTCCTCCCCGAGGATGCCCTCTTTGGGCCTTTCAGCTCTCTGAAGAGGAAGAAAATAAGCAAATATAGATAGCTTTATAATAAAGAATTTCTTTTTAGGAAGCTACTTACCCGTCCTTTTTTCTCACACGAATTGATGTAGTTCATTTCCCCCCTTGTTTTGTGCAGGCTGCTAGAAATCGTAAGCTACAAGATTATTGGTGTGCACCAAGAAGATGAACTGTTAGAATGCTTATCTCCGGCGACGAGTAGAACGTTTCGAATAGAGGTAACCGGCCCTCCCTTGTGGGCGCCCTGGCCGGTGGGATGGCCACCCGCCTCTCCCCTCAGATAGCCCTGACTTGTGGACATGGCCTAAGTGTTGTGTAGGATACCAGTAGATGTGATCCCTGCAGTTAATTTTACTCTTACACATTTTGAGGAATTAATACTTTATTGAAATCTTCCTCTGCAAGCACATCAGGTGTGTCGGGTTGAGCGGCATGAGGCCTGCTGACAGCGCTGCTCGACCTTGCCCGCCATCCGTCACACAGCGTGCCGGCCTGCTGAAACCCGCCTGACCCCCCCTGCCCCTGCCACAGCGTCCTCCTTGCTCTGGGTCTGACTGCAGAGGTCCCCAAATACATAGGATCGCAGAGGACTTGTCCTCGGGAGTGAGTTCTAAATATGGGCCACCGAGCAAGTCTGGTTAGAAGCTGTGGCTCCCTGTTGATTGAGGAGTGTTTGAAATTTCCAGTTACTAGACTAGTAGTACATCATTTGGTCTCCAGAAACACAGAGTTTCCTTTAAAAATGCAGATACCTGGGGCGCCTGGGTGGCTCAGTCATTAAGCGTCTGCCTTCGGCTCAGGTCATGATCCCGGAGTCCTGGGATCGAGCCCCGCATC